TTATCAAAGATTAATATATTCGGTAGTAAAACTGTCAAAAATCGGAAATATTTTATCATTCCCCTTCCTTTTGATCCCGAAACAGTAGTACAACACCTATTCTATATCGTTTATGTCGCACAAAATGAATTTGACCTATCGCAAATCCATTACGTCGAAAATCAACTCGAATTACCAATTCTAGAAATATTTTCATTTATCTTTGCCGATAAAGAAATAAAACTGAGAATCTGTCAAGATGTTATTAAAACTCCGGAACAGGATGAAATACCCCAAATACTAGATCACTATCACTGTGGCAAAAACAATCTCCATCGGGGTATAAATGAAACTATACGAAGAATAAAAGAAAAGTATAATTGGCAAGGCATCACAAAGGATGTAGAAAATTTTATAAAAAATTGCGAAATCTGTCAAAAAGTAAAGATATGTAGAAAAAACTTAAGTAACCCGTTAGTCATCACCGAAACCCCTAAAACACCGTTCGAAAGAATTAACATAGATCTTTTCGAATACCCTACCAGAAATTACGCATTAACTATCCGAGACGAGCTCACTAAATTCACACAGGCGTATCCTCTTGAAGACAAAACAGCTAAATCAGTCGTCAATCATCTTATTATCTTTTTCCAACACTATGGCACACCATTACGCATACACTGTGACTATGGACGTGAATTCGACAATGCTTTGATGAAAGATCTTTGTGAATTGTACGACATAAAACTAACTTTCTCAAGTGTGGGCCATCCACAATCTAACGGTTCTATCGAAAGATTTCACGCAACCCTAAGCGAAATGATAAGAGCTAATCAAGCTGAAAATCCCGATGAACATCCGTTCAATGTTCTGCCTTATGCAGTTATTTGCTACAATAATACAAAAAACAAAACCCACGGATTTACACCATACGAACTCATTTTCGGACATACTTCTTTTAGACCACCCGAAATACTTTACAATGAAAAAATCCTTATATCAAAATACGTTAGAGACTTAAGTAATCGTATGCAATACTTCTATAAAGTGGCACGAGCCAAGACGGAAAGACAAAAAGAAAAGGCTAAAGAAAGATTCGATCAACACGTGTCATCAAACCCTCCAGAATATAAAATAGGCGATAAGGTTTACGTCAAGGAATCGCAAATTAAAGATAAATCCCAAAATAAATTTAATGGCCCTTTTGAAATACAAGAAATTCACGTAAATTCTGCTACTTTATTAAATACCCAAAACCAATAGAACAATGAAAGTAAATTTTGATAGATTAAAACCCTATCATGAGTAATTTTCTTTCAGATTCCTCGGACTGATCCCAGTCATCCTCTCCCAGTATACGTTAACTCCAATCAACAACACTGTTGGAGTCTTTTTTCATGAAGAAACCAATCTCAAAATTTCGAACGACAAATGGACCCTCCTTGTATATAAAGACATGCAACCAATCAGAGACGTTATCGACAAAATGACAAAATCTTAGAAAATTTATTGGATACCATTGAAGAAGATGTACCTCGAATGCTGGCATTTAAATCTGAAGTCCAAACTCACATAAGTCTTCTGAAACAAATCTCTAGTTCTGTTAATCTCAAATATACAGAAATAATGGCTGATACGAAACAATACACATTCCGAGAGAAACGCGGACTTATTAACGGAATAGGTTCGATATGGAAATCAATTACAGGCAACTTAGATTCGTCAGATGGCGAATATTTCAATGATTGTATAAATAAAATAACCCGCGATGAATACCAAATCGAAAACTTATTGAAAAATCAAATATCGGTTACAACTTCTGTTATTAAAAACTTTAACGCCACAATCCAAAAATTACAAATAGACGAGGAAACATTCAACAATAATATTAAAGAAATTCGAGAGTCAATAATGGATATCTCTGACCAATTAAAATTCTATCAATCTCAAATCGATATGCTAAACTTTTGTGAATTACTAATGGAAAGCTATTCATTTATCGAAGACTCTTTAAATGAAATAGTAAATGCCATAACCTTTGCTCGATTAAAAATATTACATAGCTCAATCATAACCCCGTTTGATTTAATTGAATCGCTAAGGCATATATCACAATCATTACAAAAAAATAATCTTCCATTATCAATCTATACTTCAAATCTAGCTCAATATCTCGATATTATCGAATTGCAAGCCTATCAATTAGACACAAGAATTGTGTTTGTCTTAAATATTCCATTAACTGATGCAGAACAATATACTTTATATCGTATCTATCCAATACCAATACTGGATAATCGAACAGGTCTTCATTCAATATTAACAACAACAAATAAATACATTGCGCGAAATGATGATTCATTGTTATACCTTACAACAAATAGCCTTGAGTCATGCAAAACTTTGCGAGCTCGAACCAAGATCTGTTACAACACACTTCCATACCCAATCGACAGCGATGCCATATGCGAAGCCCAACTTCTGAAACGACAAGAACGCCTTCCCAGAACATGCCAGACTTCCGTAGTATTTGCCAAAGATTACAACGTCCAGAAGATCAACATAAACCTGTGGCTCATAACAGTTTCTGACCCACTGCCTATTACTATCAAATGCGAATCCAGAGACGTCAAATCAGAGATTATTTACACAAACCATGTACTCAAACCACAACCCACGTGCGATGCCTTTATTGGAAGTACAAGAGTACACTCTCAGAAATTAATCGACGTTCATGACAATGTTACATACAGAAGTCACCCAGTCCAAATTCCATTCAATTGCTGCAAACAATTCCCAGATAAAATCCATCTTCCCGACTTAAAACCACTGAAGCTTAGCAGAATCAATACTGAAGACCTCGAGATAGCCCATCACAAACTCAATCAATATTCTGAAGAACTCGATAAACTAATCAATGAACCGTTTGTCAACAAACATCTGAGCTGGTTCACCATTTTTACCATAGTTGTCATTGTAACTCTTGTTGTTCTTTATGTTATATGTAAATGCAGATCCAAGAGAAGATACAGGATAGGAATTGGCAATACCAATGACAATGACCATCCGCCCCCTCCACCAAGACACCCAGAGACAGCCTTCACCCGGAATTGGAGGAAAATCCTTCTAAGACGAAGACCCAGTATCCACCTAAGCGACGCCATAGACGAAGAAGAGCAGATCCAACTGAATACCAATAAACAGACAGTCTAAAAGTTGCTGCCACGCATCAACTTTCATCTAAAAGGGGGAGCTGTTATATGCATTGTACCAACCGATGTTCCTTATCACGACGATTCCCAGGGTATCAGGTTTCATTTCCAACAACCTGAGCCGATAAGGATCCTTGCAAATGCAGTACCAGCAGAGTCAGCGGGACCCAAGCTTTTTACACGTTCCCACTGAGTCAGCATTTAGTAATATTATAAAACCGCTTGTCGCTCTTAATTCAGTATTCAGTATATTTTTGTAGTTCATTCATTATATTTTATATTTCATTCATTTTTACCACGTAACTTGTATTTTGTAATAAATAAAATTTTTTTAAAAAGTCAAAAAAGTGTTTCGTGATATAAAAATATATATATATATATATATATATATATATATATATATATATATATATATATCTTCTTCTTCTTAGTCGTTAACCTGATGCAGGTATCGTGATATCATGAAGCTGTTAGGTAATTTTTCCAATGTTCCTCCACGTTTTTCTATCTTCTGCCAATCTAGCACATTCTGACAATGGAGCGCCAATGGTAGCAACAATATGGTCCGTGTATCGTGTAGGAGATCTACCTCTACTTCTTTTGCCTTCTACTTTTCTACTTTATATATATATATATATATATATATATATATATATATATATATATATATATATATATATATATATAATCAACCGACAAAATATATATCCCGACAAAAAGTCGGGAGACCTCTCTTTCTTCGTTAGCGAATTAGGTGAACCGCGAAGAGCCTCTTGCTAGAGACTGCTGTTGAATGAAGCTTGGAATTACCTTTTACTCCGATATGCATCTACAGTTCACACTTGGAAAAACACTATCTTTTTCACTCTTTACGTAGAGAAAATACATTAAAATGAAAGTAAAAGATTGCATTTTATTTCAATTCGAATTTCACCATTGTTCTATTGTTTCGAGCTATTCAACTCCTCATTAGCAACACTTGTGGAAGGTCAAACTGAAATGCATTTTAGTATTTGGCAGTTATAATTAAAATAACAGCGTTATTTTAATGCTATTGCTACGTTAGCAGCGACATATATATGAAGTAACAAGAAGTCGGGAAATCTATCTTCGATAGTGAATTAGGTAAACCGCAAATTCAAAATCTCTTACTGGAGACTGTTGAACGACGCGACGCTAGGAATAACCTTTCGAGTTATTCAACTCCTCATCAGAAACACTTCGAATAGCGAATTGGGTGAACCGCAAATCCAAAGCCTCTTACTGGAGGCTGTTGAATTTATTACGTTATTGAATGTCTGTCGATATTACGTTAAAGTTGTTAAGAATTAATTGTTAGGGCAATAACTTTAATTCAAGAAGGTTACTTAAGACAACAGAAATCTTAAATGTTGTGCTGCGATAAATAGAGCCTGGACCAGATGTGAAATGTATGGAGTTATTAGAAGACAACCTTGTGCCCATCATGCAAGGGCGACTACAGCTAGAGAGGATCGAATTTTACTACTCTGGGCCGTCGGAGATAGTCGAAGATCGGGGCTATGGTTATGTCGACTTTTTAATTGACAATTGACAGTTTATTTTTTTGGAACAGGTGTATAATTGACATCTAACTAGCTACCATCTTTGTATATCGACCAATTTAAGCATGGTCTGTTAGTGATAGTTATTTAAGGTTTAATTGTTTAATTGAATATTAATAAAATAATAAACAGAAGGGTACAAATATAAATTGACATATTTTCATATCTACTTAATTTATAATCATTGATACTGTATTAGTTTTTTAATAAATAATAAATCTTTCAGATGAAGCAACTGGTGGCAATATACTAATAAAAGATTTCAAAGGAGCAGCTGAAAAAGGTAATAATCTTGTTATATTTTATAATTAAATATTTCTTACAAAAAACAATTTTTTGACATCGAGAAATTGATTTGTATTAATGAATAGATAACTCGTTTTTCTGTTTTTTACAATATTTAGGAGTTCTCTCTCAGTACCCATTCTTCTTAGCACCTCGTTGTTGGTCACATGCTCTGTCCAAGAGATCTTCAGCATCCTTCGAAAAACTCACATCTCAAAAGCTCCTATACGCCTCATACTTGTAATTCCGAGAGTCCATGTTTCCACTCCGTATAGCAATATGGAATAAATAAACGTTTTTACAAATTGGTATCTGATATCCAACGATAACGTAGAGTTTATTAGGAATTTTTTCATTCGTTGAAATGCGGACCTCGCATATTCTATACGAGCACGTATTTCGACCTCGTGGTCAAGATCGTTTGTTATCCAGCAACCAAGATACTTGAATCTTTGTACTGGTTCTATATGTTTGTTTATTATTATTTTTGTTTTATTACTTTCACCATTACTTTTTCCATTACTTTTGTTTTATTTGTGTTTATATTTAGTCCCAAGCTATCTCCCTCTCTGGTTATGACATTCAAAAGTCGTTGTAAACCCTCAGCACTGTCCGCAATAATGACGGTGTCGTCTGCGTATCTTAACCCTATAATGCGCGATTTTTTGTATTGTAATAAAAAAATATTTTTAACTGCATTAGGGTATAAACTTATGCCTAAAAATAGTAAAAAAAATCTAACTTTCAAAAAAACATTAATTTTTTGAAAAATCTTGTTGTATCATATATGATACATAGCGGAAATTTTTACAAAACAAATTTTATTACATTATTAATAAGTATAATATGTTACAATAACTAAATATCTAAGTTGAATGGAATTTATGAAAACAATTATTATTTTTGTTCAGGCAAAGATATAGTCCACATTTTGAACATTGAATATACGAAAAAGAAGTACACTTGGGCATCTTGCATCTCTGTCTTGTGTCTTTGTACAATGGCCAGTGTGAGTGACCATCAAGCCTTACGTCTTTTGGAGGAATATACGTTGTTGTTGCTGACCTTTTCTTTTTTTCGGCTATTTCTTTTTCAAGATCTGATGGCCTTCCTCTCTTCACCAAACGATTACTTCCAACGTTGCATAAGCAATATGCCACTTCAGCCCGAAACTCGGCAAGTTTCATACATTTCTCTGCCTCCTTTTCTCTGGAACATCGACGGTAAAGAAGCCAAGAATTTACAAGCGTCATATCAAGAAGATGATAGAATAGCCTCATATACCACTTTTTTGATTTAATTTTGATTTTGTAGCGGCCAATCAGGCTATCCATAAGGTCCACCCCTCCCATATGTTGGTTATATTCCTGGACCAACTTAGGACATTCAATGTTGATTTTTTGTTTTCTTTTTCTATCAAACCTTTCAACATTTCCTTTCGTCAATTCTCCAGCATATGTTGACAACAAACAAACAGTCTTGTTGTCTCTCCAGGCCACTGACGATATTTCCACGCCTTCAAAGTCACACACATACTCAACTGAAGTCCCACGATCCATTTTTTTGCTTCATCTTCAGATGGTAACTTACAGTTTGGAATACGGTTTCGTCTAACAGTGCCTAGGGAATATATACCTTTGGTAGCAAGATAATTAAGTAAAGGCAATGACGTATAATAGTTGTCAAAGTAAACAACATAATTGTGATTTTCCGGGATAATCCTAGATAATCTGACAACTACATTGGCACTTGCTCCTAGGTCTGTTTCATTTACCCGACGATTCCTTTTATCATTTTCTGTACCAGTGTATATTTCGAAATTGTAGGAATATCCACTAAGACCGCATAAAACGAAAAGTTTGTATCCCCACTTTTGGAGTTTGGCAGGCATGTATTGTTTCATATAGTGCCTTCCTTTTGAGGCGCACATCTGCTCATCTACTGAAAGTTTTTGTTCCAATGATATGCTTTGGAATTTGTTATTCAAATGATCGACAAGGGGTCGTAATTTATGAAGACGATCTCGATCCACATCATTTTGGCCCAAACTTGTATTGTCGTTGAAATGTATACATTTTCTGATAAATTCGAATCTTTTCTCACTCATTACTTTTTTTATTTGCTGATAGCCTAGGGAATTGGACCAATAACTACGACAATTAGGCATGTGAACTAAGGACATATAGATACAAATTCCTAGGTATTGATTTATATCTGTGGTGGTCACTCCAGCAGGTTTACTCGGATCCTTTTGAATAACATATGTATTGGACTCTGTTACAATTTTTTCGATCAACTCATTGTCAAAAAAGTACTTGAAAAAGCATATGGTGTTGACAAATCCATTATAGCATTAGAAAGGTTGGTATCTCCTCTAAAAGTCTTCGCCAGTTCGTCAATGGATAGGTTTTTTTTCTTCCACAATATATTTTTGATTCGAGTAGTGATTGGCTCAACCTCCACATCGACATCGACGATAGTTGGCTCCTCAATAGGTTCTATTGGTTGGTCTGGAAACTCTGTGACAGTAACCTCATCTTCAAACTCTACAGGTAAGCTTTGAATATCAATATTCTCGTCAGGATCTAAGTTTGTCTCATCTCTAAAACATTCTTCAGAATCACTATTGTCCAATTCGTCATCACTGTTCCAAAAATTTGCTGCCAACTCCTCTAATTCACGCTCTGACAAAGGTCTTTTACCATACATAATGACCCTGTAACAAAACGCAATGTATCAGATCTGATACAACCGTAAAAAGAGGCGAATTATGAAGAAATTACTCATAAAAGTATAAATTAGCTAGATCTATATTTATATTACTTCTAAACAAAGTTCATACAGCCAAAATAAAAGAATTACGAAAAAACGAATAAAACAAAAAAAAATCTGAGAAGCTACAATGCGTGCTCAATGCGAATAGGCACTTGCCGGACAACTAACAAAATTCACGCGCGAACTAAAACGATTGCGAGGTATGCAGCTTTATTTCCTAGTACGTAAGGACGTATCAGATTTAATACGAAGCGCAGCGACGGCTTTAAACACACACAATTTAAGGAATCGATTATTTAAATAGGTTGTAGCAGATTTGCTACATTGCGCAGTATAGGGTTAAGTTGTTTACGTATTCTCCGTTGATTTTTATTCCTTCTTCAATATTTTCGAGGGTATTTTGAAAGATATTTTCGGAATATATATTAAATAACAGTGGAGAAAGTACACAGCCCTGACGAACTCCTCTTTTTATTGGCAATTCTGCTGTCAGACGATTGTCTATTTTGATAGACTCCATTTGATCCCAATATAGTTTTTTAATAAGTGCTACATATTCTAACTAAATGCCTTACACTCCTTTGAGAAACAGCTTTTGGACAGTAGTTGTTGCTACAGTCAATTCACTGAAAATTTCACGTATTGTTTTCCCTTTATGGTACAGATGAATAATAATTTCGTTAACTTGTGGATCAGTACGTTTTCCACGTGCCATTATTATATTTTTCTCGTCATAAAACTGACGGTTCTTAAGTATAGATACTCAAATGACGCGTTACAATTATTGATGACAACACACTACCTACTCGTATGTTTGATTTCAAAGCCTTCTTTGCATCAGGCTTTTAAAATTTAAGAAACGTGAGGAAAAGCAAAAAATATTCCAATATTTAGTTGTCAGCAGTTTTCGATTATCAAATAATGAATTAAATAGTAATCAATATAAAATATATAATTAAGCCGCAAAAATAATTCCATACGTCATAAAAAATGTTCTTAATTTCATTTTATGGAATTAACATTAAAAAAATAAATAAATAATTTCGGTAAATTGGCATTATATTCGCAAAATAACTGCTTGTTCCAACATATAGTTGTTAGGACTCATAAAAAGAGAATGCTAGCATCTGAAAACTGATTTAAAGTATGTTCAAAAACGAATTTAACAAGTTTAATGTACATATGTTGGCCAATTTGATCAGATATGCATTTTAAACTTCCTTTATGTTGATAGTCTTCATAAAGAAACTATTTAAATGAGTCTAATGAATAGAAAATTTAATAGAAATCTCATATCTAATTCGAAGGCCATTTAACGGGACTGTCCCTTTAATTGACAATTTATCAATTAAAGGAACATACGTTTGTTTTTATCGACTCTTGGAAACTACAAAATTCCTAACAATATGTAACAATAAAACACTGAAAACTTTGTTTTCAAACTTCCTCAAAATTTATTTTAAATATTATCACTACAGCTGTTTCGGCTGATTGCCTTTCTCAAGTGATCTATTTTGGCTTGGGTTTACAAATTTATAGTCTCTAATGAAATAGGTTGAGAAGGGGAGAACTGTTTGTCTCAACTTGGTCATTCAGAATTATATCTGTGTTTTTTAATTTGTTGATTTCCATAGATTCTAACAAAGATAGCTTAAGGCCTTTATTTTGAATGTGAAGAAACTTTACACAAAGATCCGACAGAAAAATATCAAAAACAAATTAAGCTAGCGTTAGAAAATTCAAAATCAATACTAAATCCAATAGAACAGAAATACCTCAGTATCATGAACCCACAGCCTCCTAAATTATATTCTTTTATTAAACTACACAAACCGGATCACCCAATAAGACCTGTAGTTTCTTTTTATACAGCTCCGTCATATAAAATTTCAAAAAAACTGTTAGAGATTATTTTAGACCACACTAAATTTACCATAAAAATACAATAGAACTAGTTAATAAAATACAAAATTTTCAATTACCTAACAACTCCAGATTAATTTCATTTAACGTAAAAAATCTTTTTCCTAGTATCCCTCCTACAGAAACTTTTATTCTAGTAAAAAACCTTTTAGACCAAAATAGCACAAATCCAATAATTACATCTGAAATTTTACATCTTCTTGAAGTTTGCATAAACCAGGACTACTTTGAATTTAATAATAAAATTTATACAAATAACAGTGCAGGACTTATAATGGGTAATCCTCTAAGCCCATTGCTATCAGATATTTTTATGGATCATCTAGAGACAAAGATTTCAAAACATCCCGTATTCAAACAGTTTTTATATTGGTGGAGATACGTAGACGACGTACTGGTATGTTTCACAGGAACTGACAGGCAACTCGACCAATTTTTATCATATATTAATTCACTTCATAGTCATATTGAATTTACAATAGAAACAGAACAAAATCAATCCATAAATTTTTTAGATTTAAAAATTAGCAGACTTCAAAACAAACATGACTTCTCCATATTTCATAAACCTACCCATACTGACACGACTATACACAATTCGTCATCCCATCCAACACAACATAAACTGGCAGCTTATCATAGTATGTTACATAGATTAACAGAAATTCCGATGTCAAAATACAACTTTGAGACAGAATTAAATATAATTAAGCAGATAGCAGTAAACAACGAACAAACAATTAATAAAATGTTAAATCAAAAACTACACAAGAAAGCCCTGAAATTAGTATTTCCACCACCAGAGAAAAAACTCAGTACCTTCTGCTCGATTACATATACAGGCAAAATAACAACAAAAATTGCCAAACACATAAAAAAGAAAGGAATAACACCAGCTTTCCGAACAAATAACAACCTAAGCAAATATATTAAAAATAACAAGAGCCAAAATAAAAAACACTTAAATAGTGGTGTGTACAAACTTCAATGTGGCGACTGCCCAAAAACTTACATCGGTCAAACTGGTAGAAACTTTGATAAACGAATAGCAGAACATAAAAGGGCTTTCAAGAATAGAAAAACAGATTCGACATACGCACTTCACCTTCTAGATCATAATCATTCTTTTAATGACAAATTTAAAATTCTTCACATTTAAAATAAAGGTCTTAAGCTATCTTTGTTAGAATCTATGGAGATCAACAAATTAAAAAACACAGATATAATTCTGAATGACCAACTTGAGACAAACAGTTCTCCCCTCCTCAACCTATTTCATTAGAGACTATAAATTTGTAAACCCAAGCCAAAATAGATCGCTTGAGAAAGGCAATCAGCCGAAACAGCTGTAGTGATAATATTTAAAATAAATTTTGTGGAAGTTTGAAAACAAAGTTTTCAGTGTTTTATTGTTACATAAAATGAATTTCCATCAAGTAACGGTCGAATCCATCAATTATCCTAACAATATGTTAAAAAATAAGTCACGAGTGGTTCATAAAGCATTCATTTCATTAAGTGGTTTATTTAATTTATAGCATGTCATGAAGCTAATGCAGATCAACCGTTTATGTGCCTCGATCTAACGTTTATCTGGTCACTTCTGGAACACGGATTTGGTTTAAAACCTGAAACTAAAATATTTGTGAGTATATAAATCTTGTTAATTGATTTTTTCGGTTTATACACTTTTATACGCATGAAAATTTTAATATAATAAATACTTAATTTATACACAGTCTTACACTGATTTATTTTACACACCATTTATTTATTATACAACAACAATTTTCATACTTAACAATATAAATTTATTACTGGGAATAAGCCACAATTAAAGATAAAAATACGTTTATTGACGTTTCAATTTCCAATTCGGAAATCGTTTTCCGAATTGGAAATTGAAACGTCAATAAACGTATTTTTATCTTTAATTGTGGCTTATTCCCAGTTATAAATAGTAATTTAATATAAATTTATATCACAAACTAAACTAAATCTTAATTCTTTCTCTATTTATATCATATGGGGTTCAGTTCCTTGCTGTTCTCGACACATTCCATTGAATGTACCAGAAGTCTAAAGTAGAAGACGTGGTAGTCCACACAGAACCTGATCGTTCCGTCTTTCTTCTTGACCAGGACCACCGGAGAGACCTATGGGCTGGTAGAAGGTTCTATCACCCCGTCTTTCTTCATTCCGGATGAAAATGTCACGATACCGCCGAAGAAATTTTACTACCTACACTAATCTAAATCTAGTGGGCCTATAACTTATGTTTCTGTTGTTTTAACAAGTCCCTGAAAGTAAGCATGGTTGATAGGTGGAATGTATAAAAGGCAATCTAGCATGTCCCACTTCAGATCAATTTGTCGGAATGAAATTGGCCTATACGCCTTTTTGTTGACTTTAGATATAGAGCGGAAAATGGAAAGGTGTAGTTAAGAGTTTCCTTGTAATATAGCATAAATGGTTCTTTCTTCACCAATCGAGTCCATTGTATTTCCAGCCATGACACGTGTTCGTTTGTAACATGTTTTTTCCTCGTTGTAATTGCTGCTTCAAGATTATTTTATTCAAACATATTTTAATGCTGATGCTCTTATAGTAATATATTTTCTAACAGAAGAACTTATTTATTGCGAATCATGTGAAGCAATTGTCTCATTCCATGTGTACGTAAAGCCCAAATCGGTTGATAGCTCATGAGATCCTTGATTATAAACGTACATGTTTCTTTTATAATAAACGACAGAACTTGTTAGAACGGGAAAAGGTAAAGCTTTCTACAAGTCAAAAGTCAAGCCATAAAACAATCGATCTTGCTTTGACTTTTCTGCATCTAATTTGGAAAGTTTGAAGGAAATACTTTTTGCACACTTTAACAGTAGTTCTACCAACTTGAATGTAAAATTGCTTGCATGTTGACTTAGGCAATCTTGATCCAGTTCTAGGGCGCTTAAATTTAGGCGCCATTTGTTTAATCAACCCACATAAATATACATTCTGACAAGAAAATATCCTTAATTTCCAAAATGTTATAAATGCATTCTTGCGTGACTCTTCTGATACCTTTTCTACAAATTTCAACCTGCATTTACAGTTTGCGTCACTGGATGTCTTCTTAGGATCTAGTTTTCCTTTGTTAGTTTCAAATTCAATGCCAGAATTTCTTTTCCTATTCCTTTCTTGCTTTTTACTCTAAGGTTTTTGCCTCTTTTTACTTCCTTTGTAGTTGTTATCTACTGGTATTGAATTTTCAAAAACTTGGCATTGTGTGATTCATAATAATATTGATAACAGAATAAAAAGAATACAGTAAAAAAATGTATTAAATAGTAGGAAAACCGTTTTAACCTTTATCTGAAGAGTCATTCATTTCAGATTGCGAAGGTTTATAGTCATTACTAGATTCTACATATTAAAATATACTGTGTTCACTATTTGTATTTTCATCAGATTGATGATTTATCTTCAAGAACATACAATGTAGCTCTGGTCGATTTACAAAGTACACCACACTTCTCAGAAACAGTTGCAGAAACAGGAATAGTTGTGTATGTCTGACTAACATCACAACGTCTATTAACAAAATCCGCTATTCATGCATCCCTACATTTCAGAGTGAAATTGTTACTGCAATCTATGAAAGTGTAGATAGTTAAAAGCTACACCACCTTTCCTTTTAAGAGATCTGTATCTTACGATTATAAAGCAAAACTTATATTAAAACTTTAACTTTATTACCCTCATATTGTAACATAACTAGTGCATTTTCCGTTCAATAGATGTCATTGTTTGCCAATAGAAAGTTTGTAGTAACGGTTTCAACAAAAATGGTTTCCTTGTTTGTCAAGTTATTAATAGTATATATTTTTTTAGTTACACAAAAAGATCAACGGACACGAAATATCATGGGCACTGGGTGCTGCTTACGAAGTTCTTAGAGGAAAACAAACAGTCCGATAGAAGGGAAAGGTGTATAGTTAACGTACAACGAGTAATAGCACTATATATTGTTTAGTATCAATTTTCTATAATAAGAACAAGAGCTTTTTCAATGTCGAAACAACGGAATAACGACCAATTTTAGATTTAGTGCTATATTGGAATATTTGATGAATAGTGTATAGGATTGATTACTGCATTGTGTAAGAGTTTTTAGACGTGTATAATATTTTCGCTGAACAGAAATTTTTTGTTTTGGGCTGATTTTACCCACAATCTCATGTTAAGGCATATTCTATCTAACTTAAAAACTCAAATACTTTAATTATTAATAAAATTGCATGCAAATTCTTTAATTTTGAAGCCATATAATAGTTACAGTTCCAGGAGAATGAATGGATGGTTCAAAAAGTTATTAATTTATAAAAAAAAGTCGTTTTTTTTTCCAAAGTCCATCGTTCTGCGAAAATAATTTCGTGATATTTTGTAATATAATTATCTTCTAAGAACTAATTAATTTTAGGTTTATAATAATATGTTAGTCTCTATTTAAGAGGTGGGCATTTTTTTAATTAGCCATCCGGATGAAATACATCAACTAACGTAAGCCGGAATTATCGTTACTAACGAGAAGTGAAGATTAAATATAGATATGTCCCAAAATTATACATACGAAGTCTGGCTATTAAATAACGAGACTGCTTATGAAAAAGAGTTTTATTTTAAAAACTATTCTGCAATCGAATGCTCTCCTTCAATATATTCCCCTTGCCTTGCCATACACCGTTCCATTTGTTTTTTCCATTGGTCAAAGCAATGCTGGAAGTCTTCTTTTGTTAGAGCTTTTAGGAGCTCCGCGGTTTTTCGCTTCACCTCGTCCATCGACTCGAACCGGATTCCTTTTAAGGCAGACTTGATCTTCGGAAACAGGAAAAAGTCACAAGGTGCTAAATCATGCGAGTACGGTGGGTGTTGGAGCACTAGACTGACTCTAGCGGCTAAATAATGCTTCACAGGCAGCGCGTTTCCGGCCGTTTCTTACGATCTCGCTCTCGCAGCGTTGCCAAAATTTTCAAATAGTAAGTTTGGTTTACAGTTTAACCGCCTGGAACTCCTTCAGTCATCACGATGCCTTTAATTTGAAGCATCTTTGCTTTTTTCATTCTTGGCCATGCAGGAGTTTTTCAGTGCATGGATTGTCGCTTAGTTTCAGCATCGTATTGGAATATCCAAGTTTTATCGTAGCTGATGATGTTTTCCATTAATTCAGGCTCTTCATGTAACCTCTTAAGAAAATCTGAGCAGATCTGTTGACGGACGAGCTTTTGGTCAGGGGTCAAATTTTTTGGGACCAATTTCGCATAGACTTTCTTCATATTCAATTCGTCATGTAAAATTTTTCTGACATTTTCTTTATCGGCGTGTATAGTCTCAGCAATCATCCGAATGCTCATACGACGATCTCAGCGCACAATTTCTTTTATTTTGGTCACTTTTTGCGGAGTTAAAACAGACAGCGACCTGTACGTTGGTCATCTTTGGCGCTCTCTCGGCCTTTAGCAAATCGTTTATACAATTTGAAAACACGCGCATGAGATAGAGAATTCTCACCATAGGCCTCTTTCAACAAATTATAGTTCTCGGCAAATCCGTTGCTCATGTTTTTCGTCACACATTGTTATAGGCACGAGAAAAAAACACGTTTTTTTCTAACCTCTACACAAAAAATACTACAGCGACAAAAACGTGTTTTTGTACTGGAAGAGTACACACTTCGTTTCGTATTCGTTTTCCACTCTTCCCCTCTAGGACGCCTTCTGCGCGCGCAGTCTCGTTATTTAATAGATAGACCTCGTATAGTTTTATGGTTCTATGGTTGTTAATTTCGATATCATCTCGGCCAATTTCAAAACTGTTGTGGGCCGATTTTGTGTCATCTACATATGTACGCTAATTTTTTTATTAAACTATATTTTCCATCAAACAATCAGTATTGCGTTAACCCTTATTCTTACGATACCCTCCATAGATATATCGCCCATCGAAACTCAATGCAATGATTAGTAAGCAATTATACGCAACTGACTTTTAGCTCATTATAAGCTCGTATAATTACCCATTACTCATTGCAAACGATTATTTTTCTCACTGAATCAAAGTATTAGAACAGACCACGATGAAAGATATACAATGAAATATCTATATAGTTTTTTGTACGTACATTAGAGAAGAAAAGTAATAACGTTAATTTTGCACAACGTATTTGAAACATTATTTGATTAAACAAACTGAATTTAGTGATCGGCTTTAAGACTAAATACGGCATTTGTCTAACATCGATAGCGGTATATACTTGTAGGTAACTGTATCTCTTGACATTCCTGTATGAAATATATATTTTTTAATTGTTTGAAGTTGTTAATTTCAATTATTGATTTTGTTTTACTGTGTGATTTTTATAAATAATTTTAAGGATAATTCCAATATGGCACTACCTTATGCCAATTTAAATGTACATATATCCTTTTGACGGAATAGATGTTTCTGCTTGAGCTGTGAAAATGTAATACTCAAATAGACCTATTAAGGAAAAGGAAACGAAGATAAACGGCAAACAAAAAGAAATTGCATAAAATGCAAGAAGATTTTAAGAGTGTATTAATCTCCTATAATAAATAAGATCATTCATAAAACTAAAACAGCCGCTAAAAAGAAAGGGCGAGGAGAAACACAAAGAAGAAATCAAAAGAAGAATCTTTCTAATAACATTAACATCTAGCTTTAAAACAAAGCAAAACTCAAAAACATTAACCTATTCAAACATAACCTTTACATAAACGTAAGAGTAAATTTACTGTCAATATTTTAACACACAGCACTGTAACAACTGTTACGGTTCTGTGACTCAAACTGTTTGTGTCAGTTTGTTGATAACACCAAGTCGTATCAGACTAAATCTAAGACCAAGTCCTATCATGACAGAACTAACGCCAAGTCTAGGTACGTTTATGTAACTCTTAAATAGGTTGAAGTTTGATATGTCTGTATACAAAATTACCAAAAATAAAAAAATTGTAGTTACGTTCGTGTGACTCCAAGTCTCCGAATTATTATAAAGTTTAAAAATGCTCAAACTGTTTTTGTAGCATATGTAAGTTAAATATAATATTTATATTAAAAAGCTATTTCTTGAAAATGACAAGGTTTTGGATACATTTAACGACATTCGTGATACTTATATAATTGCGTTTCGTAATTGACAAAGTTCGTAGTGTTGTTTTAAGTACATAATTAACAGAAAATTGATACTATTATAGACTCATCGACAAAAATAATATGTGCCTTATACGTAAAAGAGAGTGATAAAAAAATTAGGTGTAACATGATTTTTTTTATTAGCTAATCATAAATTTGTGCTAGTATAGAAAAGCTTGGTAAGAATATTCTCGCATATTCTAGCCCCAAGTATACGAGTACTATTTTTTGATAATTTTGTACGTTTTTATAATTATATTAATACAATTAAGTTACGCCTGATGAGTCCTATAACTCTCTTTAAAATGTTTGTTGTTTTGTTATGTTTATTGGCTGTGCAGTTATTCCATTCTTTTGAGTGTACGTCAATGATTTAATAAATTTTTCCAATGCTTTACTGTAGTTTTTGTATAAGATTTTATTTGCTAAATAACGTATTCACAAACAACGTATGTTTATAAGGGAAAGTACATTTATGTTCTACATTTCCAATGTTGTGTATGAGTAACATAATAACGTGACCATAGACATGAACAATATTCCAGAATTAGTCTGACCAATGCACAATATAGCAATTTAATAGAATTGTGGAAATCATTTCTGATTCGCTTAACAAATTCTAATAATTTTAATACTTTATTAAAAAATTCCATTCTAAGAAAGTGTAATGTATTTATGAAATTAAACGCCATGTCGTGCAATATAAACATCATTATATCATCTGATAGCATAGAGAAATAAATACACAGCTTTTACAATGCATTAGACAAAACATTGGAAGAAATCCAAAAAGAGGAAGTTCATATTATTTTAGGCGACTTCAATGTGAGTGTAATTAGAGGAAGAGATTGAGAAGTAGTAGAAGGCGAATATGGACTAGGAACACGTAATGAACGAAGAAAAGCTAGTCCAGTTTTGTAAGGACAACGAACAACATTATCAAGAAGTATCACGAGCCGCCACTGGCAATAAAATTAAGTTTCTGTTGTAATAAAATTAAGTTGTTAACAGTTTAGAAACTGACCGGTTTCATGTGATTTGTTGTAAATAAAATACAAGTGGACGTGCTAGGATAAAGCTTCAACTCTTAAGCAGAATGGGAGAAAGGCTGTCTGGTTAGAACTCTTATTAGAATTCAATGCCATAAACTTATCACAATTTTGGGAAAAATAACTGGAAATATGATCTGACATTTTCATGTAGATACTCTTAGCTGCCTCACAATGCCTGAGAGAATAAACAGGAGACAAAAATTCGGCAAACATATTCATCAATGTCGAGAAAACTTTCAGATGAAGTACTAATCAAGGACATGACCTGTGAAATAAACGCAATTTGGCACTATTTGCAGTGGCAATCATTTTGCAGAAATGTCGGGAGTACACAAAGAGTGCATATGTCTGCTTCGTTGACTTTTGAAAGGTCTTTGACCGAGTACACGTCAAACTAGTAAACGAACTAACAAAGCATCAATTTGAACCAAAAAAACATTAAAATCATAAAGGGTATATTATATTGAAAATATAGCAAGAACAGTGGAAGATCTACTTGAAAGTATGAATGAGATATGTAATAACTACGGCATAAGGATGAACGTCAAAAAAACCAAATATATGACCTTCAGTAAGAATCCAATTCATGACCCCAGTATCACAATAAACGGTACCCAACTTGAAAAAGTAAGCGAATACAAATACTTGGGAACTTGTCTGATTAATGAAACAGGTGATCAAAATCACGAGATAAAAAGACGTATTGAAATTGCCAGATCTACCTTTATAAAAATGAAAAACATATTTTGTAATCGTGATATTAGTATTCATCTACGAACTAGAATGTTAAAATGCTATCTTTTCAGTACTTTGCTTTACGGTGTTGAGGCATGGACTCTTAAACAGAGGAATATTAAAAATCTTGAACGCTTTGAGATGTGGTGCTACCGCCGTATACTAAGAATAAGTTGGGTGATAAGAACTACAAATGAAGAGGTAATACGCAGAATAAATAACGATCCAGAAGTTATTATGAATATAAAAAAGAGAAAACTTGAATACTTAGCCCACCTGATGAGAGGACAAAAGTACACGTTCCTACAAAATATAATGCAAGGAAAGATCCAAGGACGCAGAAATCCAGGCCGTAGAAGAATGTCCTGGATGAGAAATTTAAGAGAGTGGTTTGGCTGTACCACTAACGAATTATTCAAAACAGCAGTTAATAAAATTATTATAGAATCGCCATAATGATATCCAATCTCCGATAGAAGGGGCACTCAAAGAAGAAGAATATTGGAACCAGAAAGTAATAGTAAATGTAAACGAGACAGAAACGAATAATAGACCCACTTACGGAGGGGCCAGACAAAGATGCGTCTTGTCTTCGACGGCACAGTAATTAAAGTTGAGAGTATGGAAGAGCTACAAACTTTATTTGATGCGGTAAATAGTGAATGCATTCAAATGAGACTTATACTCTTGTAAAAATAACTCAAATACTGAACGTGTTGTAAAAATAACGTAGGCAGCAAATAGAAAGAGTGAAAAAATATAAATATCTGGGAGCTTTCATTAACTCTGAATTGGATCCATACCAGGAGATCAGGGTACGAATAAAAATGGCAGCATTCTTAAAATTCAGGCTATTATTATGTGACAGAAATTTAAATACTAAACTGATACTCAGATTTGTTTAAAGTTATGTTTGACGCCAACTAAGGGAGAGTGTTGTACCTCGGACCAGGTTGTACCTCGGGTCAGTTGACTTTCTTTCTTACCCACTGCAGATTTCTCTTCGATTTGGTTGAATTAGTGGTTTAATAATATCAGCGGTAGATGGCATCTTAATACACTTATCAAAAAATTGCAGCGTGGTGACTTGCAGAGCGTTTTGTGTTTTGTTTGATCGTAAGTAAATTATTTACCTATTTGTTATCTGTTAAAATCCGCTTCAAATGTAAATATATATATATATATATATATATATATATATATATATATATATATATAATATATATATATTATTATTATTATCTGTAATGGACAATATATATTTACGCTTGATCATCATGAATGTATTTTTTGTCTAAACGCATAACCTAATATTAGAAAACAAAAAACAGCTGAAATTCTACGTTGTGTACCTTGGGTCACCGGTAGGTCGTGTACCTTGGACCGGACCATAGTACAATCTTATTGCGAATTAACATTATTTTGACTTTTATTTAAATTAATTGGTGTGTCTGTTACCAAAAAAACCTTTTATTATTGTTTCAGATAGTCATTTTAAAATGCCGAGAAATAAAGTGGATATCAAGTGACCACATTTAAATGCCCAGGATTTAACTGTAGCCGCAAATAAATGCATAAGTGGTGAATTATCAATTAGGGAAGCAGCAAAGTGCTATAACATATCAAAAACCACGCTGATCAGGCACGTAAAATCCTTCAGGCAGTCGGGGGCTTCAGAATTTTCTTATGTTGCTACCAATAATGTAAAACAAGTTTTTAACAAAGAAGAGGAAGCTGAGTTAAAAATATATCTTCTCACTGCTGCACGTCTCCACTATGGTTTGACGAAAATGGAAGTTCGTACTTTAGCATACCAGTATGCAACTGCAAATAACAAGTCTCATCCGCCTTCTTGGGACCAAAAAAAGATAGCTGGCAAGGAATGGCTGAAGCAGTTTCTTAGAAGACATGAAGATTTATCACTTCGTAAACCAGTACCTACAAGTTTGGCCAGATCAACATCCTTCAATAAAACAAATATATCTTCCTTTTTTAAGAACTACAAAGAAGCTTTGTCTCGTGGAGATTTTTCCCCAGAAAAAATTTGGAATTGTGACGAGACAGGGTTAACGACTGTCCATGTACCACCAAAAATTGTAGGACCTAAGGGAATAAAACAATTAGGTCAAATGACAAGTGGAGAGCGAGGTCAAAATGTAACCTTGATAGCCTCAATAAATGCAATCGGAAATCATATTCCGCCAATGATGATATTTCCGAGGGTTAATTTTAAGCCTCACATGCTAAAAGGTTGTCCAGTTGGAACTATAGGAGGTGCAAATCCGTCCGCTGGTCAAACGAAATATTGTTTTTGGAATACCTACAACACTTTAAAAATCATGTGAAACCAACAGTTGAAAATCCAGTTATATTACTTTTGGATAATCACGATAGCCACGTGAATGTAAGTGTCATTAATTTCTGTAAGAAGAATGGAATTCTACCGATAACGTTTCATCACCACACCAGCCACAAAATGCAACCGCGCGATCGAACAGTTTTTGGACCGATAAAAACTTACTATAATACCGCCTGTAGTGAGTGGATGATTATGCACCCTGGACAACCTATTACGATTTACGATATAGCCGAACTTGCAGGTAAGGCATTTCCAAAAGCATTTACTACATCTAATATCCAGAAGGGATTTGAGGTGAGCGGTCTCTATCCCGTCAATGAAAACATTTTTGAAGATAATGAGTTTCTGTCTTCGTATGTAACTGATCGTCCTTTAAACCAGCTTACTGACAGTCGCGAGCAAGTCAATGTTGAACAGGTCAGGGAAAAAACTAAAACTACAGTTAATGAAATGGAAGTCTCTACTCCTTCTACCTCAAATATTCGTCAAGCAGGAACTTCAGCAAGTTCTATTACACCTGAAATGTTGCGACCCTATCCAAAGGCACCTGTTCGCAAAAAGAAGTTAGGAAGAGCAAGAGGAAAGTCACGAATACTTACCGACACTCCAGAGAAAGATGAAATAGCTACGCTTAAAAAGGGAAAGACGGTATCATTTGAGAAAGTGCAGGCAGTTACAAAGCAAATAGCGACAGAAGATATACAAAATGTGCCAAAGAGAGCTGCTAAGTATGATAGTGAATCAAGTTCAAGTGATGGAGGTACATTTGAGGACTTGGTAACTAGAGGAGAAGAATTATTAAATGACCAAAAAATATATGACTTATCTGAAAATAACGAGATTAAAAAAGGAGACTTTGTTTTAGTGAAAGTGGCAGGGAAGAAATCCTTTGTTTATTATGTTGCCGAGATACTGAACAGTGGAATTAATAATGAACTTAGATATTTACGTAGAATTCTAGATTCCAATAAGTTTATAAACGACTCAACCGAGGCTTATGATTTTTTACGCAATGATATTGTACGTAAACTTCCACAACCGCACAAAATAAGCGGAACTGCACGTCACGATGCGCACCTGAAATTTAATGTTAAATTTAGCGGATATAATGTCAAATAAGTTTTTATTTACTAAATTAATCATTAGTTAATCATAATGTTCTGATTATTTTGAGATATTCAATAAAACATTTCAAGATTTGTTCTATTTTTTTTATAACTGACCCAAGGTACAATATAATGCTGGTCCA